AGGCTCCCGCGGGACCGCGGCCGCTGGACGGATACCTTGGCGTGGTGGACCACAAGGTGACAGCTCGCTCGCCAGCTCGCCCGCCACCCAGCCTGGGGATCCCGCACACCTGAGCTTGCCCCTTTCCCGGGGCTGGGAGGCGCCGTGAGTAGGTGCCATTCGGAGGCTGGAAGGGGGAGTGGACCCGCGAGGGTGGGATGGCAGAGTTCCTACCTGGTATGAATTTCTTTTTGGAGAAGGATGCAAAGTTTTCAGGGAATAGGGATGAGATGAGTGGACCCCAAATCCTACTTTCATAATAGGAACCGTCCCTGGAACTAGAATCGCCATGACCCCAGAACTGCAGCTACCGCTGGGTGCTGGGTTCCTGAAGCCTCGGGTTTGGCGGCCAAGTCGCGCCCTAGTGGGAGGAGAACCAGGAATGGCGCGGGTACCAGTCCGGGCGTACCTCGGACCGGGAACCGGAGGCTGAGGAGCAGCCAGCCCGCGGCCGCTGCTCAGCCTCGCAGGTTCTTAATCTGATCTCTGCTTCGGATGCTCTGGGCTAAATTCCCACAGCCCTGGGGAGCGGTGCCCAGGCAGGCGCGGAAGGCTTTAGGCACAAACTCAGCTTTCATTGGCTTGAAACTCATCGTTGAGGGCCTATTTTCCTCTGCCTTCCGGGAAGTCGCTGCATGGCTTGGCTAATAATTAAAAAGATGAATTTTTAAGAAATTAAGCCTCCTTCCCTTAGAAATAATGACTCTCTGGTTTCAGTGTGTGAAGCCTCTGGGAGAATCCTAATCAAGTTTCCTAATTCTGAAAAGATATTTTGATACAGTTTAAATGTATTTCCCATCCTTTGAAGCTGCTAGTATATATGTATTTTTAATTTAAACAGAATTCCACCCTGTATATGCTCTATAAAGCTGGAGAATTTCTTGAAACCACTCAAGTATTCTGCTTTTTGTATTATTAGGTTTTATGGTTGTGAACCAAAGTGATATTTAGCAGGTGCTGCTTTTGTGTGAAAAGATGACTCTTCCCATGTATGGGAAAGTCACACTTTTTTTAAGTAGCAATCAGAATACTTCTCACTTGTGCAATGTATAATGCTAAGGATTTTGGAGAGTATGAAAGAGTTGAAGGCAGAACCCAGCCTTTAGGGATCACTGAATGCCTGTAGGGGGAAAAAAAAACAATATACCATGAAATGTGGTTGGATGGATAGATAGATGACAGATAGATAGACAGATAGATATAAATGTATGGGAAATGCTAGATATAAACAGTTCTGTTGGAGTACAGAAGTGAGAAAGATCTCGGACCTAGTAAAATCAAGGAAAGTTTCTTTGAAAAGGCAGAGCTAGCACTCAGAAGAATTCAGGGAAGCAAAAAAGGGCAAGAGAAAAGAGGAAGTGATTTGCCTGGAATGAGGACTGGTGGTAGATCCTTAAAATCAAAAGCAGAGCAGGCCATCAGTTCCACAATTACAGCTTTGCTTTTCTCTTTAAGTTGTCAGATTGATTACATACTTTGTATCTGCGTGTGCAAGCAACCCAGAAGGGCTGAAGTTCTAGAAGAGGTGAGACATTGGCTTCTGACTGTGGATAGATGTGCTATTTGTGTGTATGATGAATGTATTGAACCTGGTGGATTTTCATGGCTGTTGTTTAGTGGAAATGGCTATCCAGCACTTGTGAAGCTTTGATTAATAGGGATGTCAAAAGGTAAATTTGCTGAAAGCTTTGATCCGCCTTTGGGAAGACACTCTGAATGCCTCCCTTCCTGTGCTCTCCTGCTGGACAGACAGCAGCTAAGAACACTGATAGCCTAGGGCAAAATATGATGCCTGCATGTTCCCTTTCAAAGCAATGTTTATTCACACGGATATATTGGGTTCCACTTCATTGTATCAGAGCCTTATTTCATTAAAACGAAGGACAGCCCCTTTGAGGAAGGAAATGTTGAAACTCTAGGAGAAATTGCGATAACACATATTAAAGGGTTTTGTAAACTGTGAAGTGTTATGTGAATGATAGATACACACAGAAGTCCTTAGAATTCGTAGCAGAGAATTGTAAATGTGACCAGGAAGTTCTTCTCAGATAATTAGTACCAATGAAATTCTTTCATAGAAAATCAGCCTCTTACAAAATTCCATACTCAAAGTGTCCAACAAAGTTTATCCTACCCCAGGCAAAGGAACAAATACAAATCTTACAACCCGTGCCTGCTCTCTAGGCACTGTTCCAGTTGTCCCGCTGAATGAAGTGTAAACCTCTGCTTAGAATGTAGTCACTTTACCGCTACTACTTAGCTGGCTGCAAGTTGGGCAGAGTTCATTCCCGCTGGCTATCTGAAGGTGCGTGTGTGAAATGTTTATGTCATCTCCCAAAGCTGCTGTTTAAGTAGGTTTCCTTGGGATCGCACTATATTCTTGCTTAGTCTGAGGTAGAAACCATTTGTTGGAATATTGCTAGGATTTTTTTTCCAGTTAACACAGGGGAGGGTAAAGTTGAAAGCTTTTCTATTCTTATTATGTTGCCAGATGATACTCTGATTGCTTTTTTTTCCCTCTACTCTCACATCAGGCCTTAGAAAAATTATAGGATGTGCTGAATGTGATGACCACCAAGCCGTGTGCTGCTGCATATTGAATCAGAATTCCTACAGACTTTCTATTTGCCATTGATTTACTGAATCTGGAGAGAGTTACAGATACCATTTAGGAAAATGTTCACATCTCCGTGGCTGGAGGTCCCAAAGTCTGATAAATACGTAGTGTTTATGTTCAGTTACATAGTGGTATTAACGTAACTCCGAGATTAAATTCAACAGGCGGTCTTAATCCCCAGCACCTGAATTTCACAAATTACCGCCTGTCTGCAGTGATAGTCTTGTCTCATACGGCTGCAGACGGAATTGCTGTTCAGATTAAATCACTGCGTGCTTTTGTTGAAAGGCATGCTGCAAGTCAAGCCAGTGATGAGCAATGTGTGTAGAAGCTTAAAATATTACTTTCCATAGTTGTAGTCCCTACTTCCTGTTTCTCAAACAGTGTGAGCGGAAATCCTAATTCCAGTGTGACAAAGTAAGTGAAGTCTCCTTGGAGTTTCGTGTGATGATGAAATCACTCATTTTCTCTTAGGTAGATTCTTTCTCTTCATTCCCAAACCTTTTCCCCCAACCTTTCCCCAGAAATATTTCTCCAACTGATTTCCATCTTGTTACGAGTCTGTCACTACAGCTATGCATTTCTGCATCCTGCCATTTCCTGGTCCTCATTTCTGGAAGTCTTTGATTTCTAACCACATCTGCCAGACCTAAGCAAAGAAGCCAGCTTCCATGGTTTGGGGAACCTTCTGCCTTTAGAACTGCAGTGTAATGTATAATCAGACTAACACACACACACGCACACACACACGCACACACAAAATCAAGCAACTTTCAGAGAAAAACTCTGAGTCTCCCAGCAGGATATAAGGGGACATGAAACACACTTCCGTTTCCGGTCTGGGTTTGCTCTGGGTAGTTAACGTCATTTGCCATCTGGCGGACCCTGTGGAATGAAACTGTGACCTGATTCCCATTTCCAGTAGACAGGAGCCCTTATCACAGAAGACCCGCTTGTCACCTGGGCTGTTCTCTTCTGAGATGGCTCAAGAAAGAGCAGTAATCAGTGGGGTCTGAAGCAGAGCTGCTGGCTCCTCACTTTAGTAGTAGCCCCCAGGAATGGATTTTACACAGACCACTAACACGTTTGCCCTTGGTTCTTTCCTTCCTTGAGCACTCAGTTATTTAGACAAAATCAAATTGCTTAGAGGAAATAGTACTGTCACTATTAACTAGTAGACGTCCAGTTGGAGTGATAAGACAAGTCAGTGCAAGAGTTGAAAAATAATTCAAAACTGGAAAAGAAAGATACGTCATATAACTTACTTTGAAACTATGGCATGAGTATTCTTTTTTAGAGAGGCATATGCATTCTCAAATACAATTTATTCGGCCCTATTTTATATTTGAGACATCCAAAGAATGATAAATAATTTAGATCTCAAAGAAGTTCGGAGTGAGCTTATTTTCTGTGCTCAAGTATTACAAAATATAATATGCCAACAATGATGAAACTCTGTTATCATAAAGCACCAACCAAAAAGAATCATGAAATGAACTATTTTTTATGGGTAAAGAGTTCCAATAATGTGGTTGTTTTTGAACTGGAGAAGTGTTCTTATAACAGTTAGTAAAATAGTTAACCTTCCTTAATTCTGAAAGCCAGTATTTCCTCAGCTTTCCACAAGAGTAATCCCAAAACACCTTTATGCCAAAGCCCAGGTCATACCTTGGGTGGTGAGCTTATTCTGGCTCCTCAAGTTTCAGGCATTCTGGCCTCCTTGCTGATCCTCGAACACTCATTCTGCCTCAGGGCCTTTGCACTTGCTAGTTCCTCTCCCTGGAAAGCTGCTGCCCAAGGTCTTTTGCATGGTTGGTTCCTTCTGGTCATTTGATCATCACATCACATCATCTTCTTGTGGACCACACTCTTTGAAAAACCCCTTTCTCAACAGTCATTCTCTATCATATCAGCCTGTTTTATTTTCCTTATAATACTTAACAAAATCTGAAATAATCTTAAAGTTTACTTGTCTCTTATCTGCCCTACCCCCAAGCAGAATCTAAATGCTGTGATAGCAAAGTGTTTGTACATCTTGTTGACCAGTTTAACTCCAGGTCCCAGTACTTGGCCCTTGGTGGGCACACAGGAAGTATTTAATGAAGGAAAGAAGAAGGCAGTGTGTAGTGAGGGTTGTGGGGTAGGGGGTGGTCCCTGTAGAAGGATAGAGCTACCTTACCTGTGTCAAGTCCTTCCTTTACAAGATATATTGTTGCGTCCAGTGCAACAAAGATTCCTGCTTATGGATGGGTGCCGCAGAACATAAGAAACACACAGATAGATAGAGAATCAAAGATGGACCAGGAGACTCAAGATCTCAAAGATCAAGAGCTCTGGATGGCTGGTTTGCATCGCATTTACTATCATAGTGCTGCAGGAAATAACTTTGTTATGTCTCCA